TTTTTTTTTGGTCGAAGAGAACAAAATCAAGGCTTGTGTCTCAAACCTTTGCAATGGCCATCAGAGAGCTTTCACCTTGTCAGGCTTGGAGCTCATGCTGCTTTGAAATTCCTTCCTTAGATGTCTGAGGCCATCATATATTGTTGCTTCAAATTATTATATTAATTTGGTTTTGTGATAATACAAAACTAAAAAATAAAAGAGATGATGATATTTTCAAATCGAACAACTAAAAAATTCAACTTACTCACATACATCACTTTCAAAACTAAAATTTTACTAAACAACTACTTCTAGAACACTACCTTTTAAGTAACAAATTTTTCACAATAGCTTTTGAACTGATATTTCATAAAACCACAATTGTCCAAAATTAGCCCCCCTTCCAATGACCACACCATATTGACCACCTTCAAATAACATCTTGTTAAACTCATAACTATCCTCATTACCCCAATTATATACCCTTTCTTGATGAAGAAAACTCATAGAGTTGATGTGGTAATGGGTTGAATCAAAAGTTTGTAAAGAGGGGCATGCAAACATTAAAAATACTATATGAGGAGGTTGAGTGAAAGCATGTGACTTGATTCAAATAAAATGGAATAAATCAAACACATAGAACTTTAGAGTATTTTGATCAAACAACTTGCGTTCAATATGTGATAATTCGAGGAACTTTATTTGGTTATTAGAAAATCATATGGTGTTTGATCTCAACTGAGTGAGCCATGATGGGAGAATTGGGAGAAAGATTGCAACTGATTTCCAGAATAATATGAGAAATACTCTTATATTGTGGCTTATAATCAAATTTAATAAGAGTGATCAAAAGAAAAAGAGGATGAAGAAATGCTTGAACGTGGACATGAAGAGAATGATGGTTTCTCGTGTTCCCGATAAGATTTTTAGAAATGCAAAAAACTTTTGAGGTTAAACTTTTTCCTCCATTCTAAGCTACAACGGCATGGTGTTGGGTGAGATTTTAACACGTGTAACTAGTGAAACATTAAACATCTATTGTTACTAATAATTATCCTTCATTACTTTAAGCATTGTATTGAGGTACTCTATGAATGCTTCAAGAAGTTCAGAAGTAATTCTTCAAGGAGGGCAGTGGTTATAGGGAAAATTGCAAATATAATGGAGATTGCAAAGACTGGCATGACCCAAAATAGAGCCAAATTAAATTATGTTCAATGTTTAATGAAATGCCAGTGACATCGGGAAAGAGATGTCATTGTGATTGCTATAAAAAAAGTGAATTTAGTTCCCCCACTAGCGAACTATGTCAACTTGTAGGTGATGAAACCATATAGTTTACATATGTCAAGGAACCATTGCATCAAGAAAGACTTTATTAATGATGAAGGTAGATGATGAAATAACAAGTTAACATGCTTTAAGTTCTCCAAAAAATAACATAAAATATATGAATAACATTTTCTCCCTTTTCAATAATCCCTAACAATGATGTTGTTTGTTCTAATTGATTCCCATGATAATACTCGTGCATTCAAATAGAGGATTTGCATTGCAAGATTAAGGAGATCATTATGTGTTAAGATGTATGGATTAAGGAACTTGAGTATTTCAAAATAGTATTCCTATCAAAGCAAGCCAATATGATCAGGATGAGAGAAATGACGCAGGATCTCAAAAAAAAAAAAAACTAATGTTGAAAGAGATATGATCAAATGGGCATGCACATGCTGAAATATTTTAAAATAAAGACTAAGGCCTCAAACATGGTAGGTTGAGTGGTCAATTAGTTTTGAGAAGTATATATTAGGCTGTGGCATGTCGAGGAAGGCTAAGCACCTACAATGATGCTACATGACCATGATAGCTAATTGGAGGACCTTAAGGCAAAATCGAAGTATAATAATCCTAAAAGAGAATTTCACTTGAATGTGATCAAGATGTATTAAATAGAAGGTGTGGGTACTAGCGTGCTTGGAATAAATTGTTGATATCATTTTTAATGAGTATGCCACACTCTCCTTTTTTTTAGTCTATTGGATCACATCTTAGAATAAGAATTCCTTTCATATGACCCTTACCAAACATTTCTAGTGACTATGTGGATTCTGAACCAAACCCAAGGATAATACCAACCTATATGTCTTTGTTTAAAATGAGCTTAATTTTGTCATTAACTCGCTTAAAGTGAAGTTCAAGTAACCACAATTAGGCCATTATTAATCAAGAAACATACTGAACGAATCATTTTGACACAAGGAACCCCCCCTAGATTACCTTTAGGACTTTTGAATCCTATGAACCTAAAACTTGAACCAAGGCTTTGAACCAGTCTTACAAGCCTTTGAATCACAAATATGAAGACAAAAACATAACATGACATGCATATGGTGCACTAAAAATATTCAAATAATTCTGACCTAAAAAGAATAAAATATTAAAACTAAATTACGAACTACTTGTAGTTATGAAATTTCTAAAACATAATGACTACTACAATCTTCTTAAAACGCGATAAACTTTTTATTTAGTATTATACTAATTAATATTACAATCATTAATAATACTTAGATTTCATGGCATATTACTTTGAAGTCATTTAAATTTTAATAATTAAAGAAATAACATATTTACAAATTTCATTTCAATAATACTTAGAGTTCACCTTTTCATAGAATTTAAAATTTGAATTTTTTTATGTATATATTTTAATAAAACATCGACCCTTAAAAATTATATAATAAATATAAAAATTTTGACGCTAAATATGTAAAATAAATAAGAATTATATGATAATATATTAGTTAGAATATAAATGGTTCAACTTATTTGTTGCTCTCAAATTATTTTTACTAGTTTTGTTAAGGATGATTTGCACGCATACCATCATATTCTATGTATTTGCATATTCAACAACTAAAATTTAAGTTTTATATTTTATTTGTGATATAAAATATTTGAAAATAAAAGGTTGGAAGTAGATATGTAAATACATAAAAGTTGTGTGATTTAAATGTAAAAACTAAAATAGAGGTCACGGCCGCCGGCCCTCTGGGCTCCTATCGCCATTCCGGAACCAAAAAAAACCGCGAAAATCGTCCTCATCTGCTCCGAAAGTCCCTCAGATCCGTAGGTTACCACCGCAGACCGATGACGCCGCACCTCTCCTTCTTCTCTCGGCCTATTACAGCATATCCAAATCCGTTAATGGCCATACGTAGGTTCTGTTATCCCCATCTTGAAAGCGAACCATCTCCCTAACCCTAAACCTATCGTATGGAGAAGGTTTCCGACCCTTCCAGGTTTGGAGAGGTCGCCAACGCTGCTGATGGCGGCGGCCAAGGAGGAGGAGAGGAAGAGAGTGAGATGGACGTGGACGACCTGGTCCGTGAGCTTCTCGAGACATTCGAGACTGTGCTGTCATTTTCCGACTACCGCCGCACGCAGAAGAAAGAGTGCTATAACCTCATTCGCCGGATGAAGCTGGTCGTTCCATTGCTCGAAGAGATTCGCGATTCGGAGGTTCCTGTGCCGGATGGGGTCTGCTCCAAGCTCTGCAGCCTCCGAGCGGCCTTCAAAGCTGCTAAGAAGCTGCTCAGATGCTGCCATGACGGAAGCAAGATCTATTTGGTAATTTTTTTTTTCTAAAAAATCGGTGTTTTGAGATAGTCGATTTAATAAAAGCTCGTGTTTTTGTATGATTTTCTTCATCAGGCTTTGGAGAGCGAGGCAGTGATGGGCAGATTTCACTTTGTTAATGAGAAGTTGACTCAGGCGGTGGAAGACATGCCGTATAACGGACTTTACATTTCAGATGAAGCTAAAGAGCAGGTATTTGTTATGTTTATTGTTTTCTTTGGGTTTCAATTACCCTTTTGTAATTTATTACATTTTGTTCCTAATTTTGTTCTGACTTTGTCGGCCATTGTATTATCACTCAAGTTTTGGAGCCAGTTCATAATAAACATCTTTGCTTTTGAATATAATAACGTTGTAATTATAATCTATGATTGGTTCAAGTGGTGTTGTTCCACATGAAAGGCTATGAAATTTGTTAGGTAGAATGAAATTGAACTCTTGAAGGTCAATGTGTCTTTTGGTGTAATTGTTGGAATTTCATCAGAAACTTTAAAGTTATGTGTGCTCATATGGGAGCACTTTTGGGACAGGTGACTTATTGGGAATTTATACTAATGGGATAATATAGTGATTTCATTGGGCCAAAGCGAGCAATATTGATGACTCAATGTTCAAGTTGTTACAAATGGTATTAGAGTGTTACAAGAGATTGAAGATGAGAATTAAATGTGTTATAGACCAACGTTTTATGCTAGGGGAGCCATATTTTAAACCCTAGATGGGGCAAAAAATAAATAGTGGGAGTCATCTGTTAAATTTGTGGGGATCATATTTAGCATGTTATCTGCATGGTGGTTGATTTTAAACTAAGAATATTGACGAGGGCATCAGTTACTTGAGCATGAGAGATTATGAAAACTCTTAAGTAGAATGAAGTTAAGTTCTTAAACATTGCAAAGTATTTCTTTCTCATTTATATTTTAATTTTGAATTTACTTTTTTCATAACAGGATTTCGTTATTTCTTGTCTTTCTTCAATTCAAATATAAGTGTGTGAATTTTTCATTGTGATCATTTTTTTTATAAGTTTAAATTAAATCATTCCATATTGATACACAACAAATTACTAGTTTATGATGAAACCTATAAATACAGTGGAGTGGACATTTTTTTTTAAATAAAGAAATATTGAATCATATCTATTCACGCAAATATTAAAAACGAAGTTAAGTTTTTAAACATTGCAAAGTATTTCTTACTCATTTCTATTTTAATTTTGAATGTACTTTGTTCATAACAGGATTTTGTTATTTCTTGTCTTTCTTCAATTCAATTTTAAGTGTGTGAATTTTTCATTGTGATTATTTTTCTTACAAGTTTAAATTAAATCATTCCATACTGATACACGACAATTTTCTAGTTTATGATGAAACCTATAAATATAGTGGAGTGGACATTTTTTTTGAACTAAAGAAATATTAAATCATATCTATTCACCCAAATATTAAAAAATGAGTAAAATGTAAAATAGTCCCCCCAACTTTTTATATAGTATCATTTTACTTCCATAGTCTATAAAA